TAGATAGATAGATAGATAGATAGATAGATAGATAGATAGATAGATAGATAGATAGATAGATAGATAGATAGATAGATAGATAGAAATTGTTTGTATAGCTAGAGCATGTAATGAAAATGGGATGGGATTATTAAAGTATTTCTGATTCTGAGATAATGACAGATCTTACTCTCCACAGCCGACATTTTACCGCATCTTTTTGCAAACGCTGAACCTTCACAACAACCATTAACAACCTTCACAGTTGCATCTCCATTCCATTCATGTCCAGGTATTTATGCTCTTTTACCTCCTCAGCTTCTTCACTCATCATTGTAATATTCTTTAATCTGTTCATGTGTCTTTTAAAATCTTTGTTTTCTTAATAATCATGATTATTTCCACACCACTGATGCCCACTATCCCCCTGTACTTGGCTGTTTGTCCATATCTGATACAACCAACTGCTGTGTTATTCAAATACTTCTGCAGATAGCAGGACTCTGCAGTGAATTGGACCAAGTTTGAAATTGAGGCTTTCTAATCGACAGTAGGTGCTTACCTCCAACAGATGGCGCTCTCAGCTAATTCAGAGAGGTTCAATGCAATATCCCCTGTATACAGATAGTTAAACAGGAATGCTGTTTAGTTCTTGCAAACAGTTTTAATAATTTTAAAAACCCTTATGTTCCTAAAAGATAATCTTTATGTTTTCTGAAAGTTTTTGTTATTTGAACTTTGAGCTGCAGCGTTAAACGTTTGCTGAGATCTTCAGATTATGCTGGGACGGTGAGATTCTGCATGTGGCAGGAACAGACAGACTTGTTGGTTTGGAGTTTTATCAAAACATTTTAACTCATCCCAAAATGTTTTGCATGAGATCCCACCTGCTGTTGCAATAAACACACAAAATATGCTAAAGATATTTTAAAAATGCATTTCAACAGGATTCACAGATCCTTCAGAGAAACAGAGCCACAGCATGGAGCCTCCTCTGCACTATGCAAAGTTTTTTAAACATCCATCTTGTTTCAGTTTACCCTTTAAAAGCCAGACTGAAACCAGAAAGCGTAATGGGATCCCAACCGGTCTTAGAGCTGAAATACTTTAAAATTCACAAGAAATGAACATCTAAGACCAGAAGAACGGGAATAGACAGGAAACGATTCTTCCCAGGTTTCTCACCATGTGGCACTAATGCCCATGATTTTTTAAATTCAATTCAGTTTATTTATATAGCGCCAATTTATAACACACTTCATCATGAGCTCCCATGTCAGAGGATGAAGAGAGCACATCCAGCCAGTCACAGTCAGAGAAACAGGACTACACTGAAAAACAGGCCGAGCTTTAACATCAGAAAGAATCATAGTTTACATTCCAATTTAGCAGAAGAAAAAAATTAAACACAGGTCTCAAGTAGGAGAACAAACACCTCCGATTAACTGAGATAACGTAGTATCTTTATTGGAAAAAAGCTGCAAAAGTGTAAACAGTGTTATGGTTCGGCATAATATCCATCTATAAGCATGAGATTTATGTCCTGCTTCATTGTAGCATTAGATTGAATAGAGCCGCAGATCATTTTCATACAAGCACAATATTCACAAACATTTTAATGATCAACCAGAGAAAAAAATTGTTAGCATTAAAGTGTACATTAAAATACATTATGTTACATGTGACTCTGCAATTAATATTAAAACGAAAACTATTTGGAAAGTGGTTTAAATTACACCCCAGCAGTGAAATCTAGATCAGGAGGAGCTTTATGTCTCACACTGAACACAGTTTATTTAAATAATCCATATAAACAAACGCAATAAAAAAAAAAATGCCTTACTCAGAACTACAATCCGACCACACGGCCGTGTCTCCCTTCATTCTAACCACCTCTCTGCATCCCAGAAAGTCTCAGACAGAACAACAGTTTTCTAACAAGATAGTATTTTGGCAAGTCAGGAAGGCAGCTGGAGTGTTTATGTTCCAATACAAGCATCTTAATCCTTAGTTTTCTCCTTTAAACAAAAAAAAAAAGGTTGTTGAAGCCTTATAACTATATTTCCATATTCTCAGTTGATGCTTGGAGATCCAGCCAAAATGACCTGCTGTTCAACAACTGCAAGTCTGCATCAATAAACATACAAAAGGCAGCAAAACTGGATAAATATCTCCAGAAAAAAAAATTTACTATTTGTTTTATTGCATTAAGAAATCAAAATGCTCCACAGGTAATGAAAAGGGCTTTTAGTCAAAAAGTATAGAAGGTCATCAGGCTCGTTGCTTAAATTGCTTTTTTTTTTTCCCTAAATGTTTACCTTGGAACTTTTGACTGGGATGTTGAAATTATCATAGTAGTTTGGACACAGTTTCTGATCTGGGACAACATTTTATCTCCTTTAAAGAGACAAACTAGAGGAAAAGCATGCACTTCATCCAGTGAAGTTTTCTGTTTATCATGCCCAGTAATCTGGGACTGCAACTTGATGCTGCTTTGCGTACATCCTCATACGGTGGAGATCAGAGAACCCAAAACATTTTGGAGTATTAATTTACAAAAACCAGGTTGGGGCATTTTGAGCTCTACTCTTTGTTAGGCCCCCTTCACACCAGGCAGAATGCGCTGCTGACATATACCGTCTATATCTAGATGAATAACACCATCTGCCAAGTATTAAAAAAAATCCTTTTCTGGATTTTACTTCTTCTAGTTTACAAGTTATACAAAACATTCTTCAATTTTTTCCAAAGGAAGCTGTGTATTTTATCCAGAACATTTCATTATCTTAGTGTCTACTTTTTGAAAAATAAAAAAAAAAATCAGAATGTTAATGTTTCCTTCTATTGTTGTAAAAATATTTTCTTTATTTCCTTTAACTATTTTAACATTTCAAGACTTCTTTTTTCAAATTACGTGCTGAAGTGTCATATTATTCGTCAATTTTGGAGATTCCCCGTAATAAGAATGATCAAGCCTGTATAAAAGTGATTAGAAACTATATAAATGGATGTCATTAGTGAAACAGTCATAACGATACTTTTAGTCTCTGATAAGCAAGAGTTCAAATGACTACTAATCTTTTTCGTCTCCTTGTTTTCAACAGAGTTCTCTAGGCGTTACATAAGTCAAGTACAGCATCTTATCTCTGTTAAGTTTTACTGCATTAAAGCCAATACTAACTTCTATCTACACAGGTGCAAATAAATGGTGACAAGGTATTTGTCCTTGAAAGTATTTATCATTTTAAGTATTTAAAAAAATATAATGAAAAATGCTGGACTAAAAAAATGATTCTGAAAATTAAGAATGTCTTTGTATTTTCATTTTTAATTAATCATCAAATTTTATTCCACCCTGAATATTTATTTCATTATATTATTCTTTTCATTGAATAATTGAGATGAAGCAGCTAAAGATTTAAAGTCTAAAATACAACAGGGTAATCTAAGTGTTAAATAAAGGTTATATTGGTCTATATACCAAAAAACGAAATCTTTGAAAATGCACACAGGCTGTAAGAGGAAAATATGAGCCAATGTACATTTTTAATAAATATTATCAGCAGGTTAAGGAAGAACAGAGAGGGCTGCCATTGCTTCAGATGGAACAAGGAAATACATGTTCTGGCATTAGGTTCTGGACAATTAGAACCTAATGCACATAGTGTTCGCATTTTTAATGACCAGCTGAAAACAGCCACAGAGAACAACACCCCCAATCAAAAAGAGGTGAAAAAAAATATCCCCAAACGCAAGGGAAGCTAGAGGTCTCACCTATGAAGATTGGTATGTGTTGTACTTCTACTAAAGTAAGGGCCATAGCAGTGAAACGTGCACATACAACTCCAAATTGTGCATATCACCTGAAAACTAGAAAAGGTAGTGATCTTTAAATGTAAAAACCACTTTCAAACAACAAAAAGTACTTTTAGAAAGAATGCCTTACATTTCACCATTAAGGCTGAAACTGTTGGTGGAGTAGCAGAAACGTGTCACATTTAATTGGATATTTGTGGATTGTTTGGGAATCTTCTGGGTCTGTGGCAGAACCGTTCTATTTTTACTAGAGCCTGCAGAGTAATCTTAGGTCAGTGTGAAGGGGGCCTCGGTGGTACAATTTTAACCTGTTATGGACACTTTAAACATTTTCAGTGACAGCAAACCCATTTAACAAACAGGAGGGCTTAGAGGTAAGCATTCAGGCTGGTGAGATGTAAGGGAAATATTCTGTGGGCTTCCATTCCAAAGAAGGCATAGTGGCAATAAAATAAACTTTTTTTTTGTTAGATGACAGGCGCTGAGCGGTCGTTTGTGACAGTCGGTTTCAGCTTGACTGTTGCAAATGGGTTTCCTCCTCTGCAGCAAAAACAGAGAAAGACATCAGTTAGATATAAAGTCAAGATTGAAGATAAAGCCAAACCTATGAGATTCTGTTGGTTAGGTTGCATCACTCACCCTAAGAAAGGAGGCTTTGCAGTCCCATTAGCTAATGACACCTGTCAACAAGACAAAAAGGACTATTAATGAAGTGAAGCAGATGAAGTCAGAGCTGCCAGACGAGTTTCAAAAGTCTGAAAGTGAGCAAGCAGTCTTCCAGCTCAGTTCTGACATATTTATATCAGCTGCTCAGAAATCTGAACTATGTAGCTGCTGAGAGACACGTACCCCTCTCTGGCAAACACCCAAGAACAACAATCTGTCATCAAACTCAAGTAAAGAAATGTAAAGTAGTATCAGCTGTCAGTAAAATCTGTTATTTATGTGGGACTATGACCCTACAGGAAGACTACACCAACCTTTCCAATTTTATCAAATCATTGCCTCTTGCAATAATTTAGTATTGGGCTAGAGTCAATTATTAGTATTTATTAACATTCCAAGTTCAACTTTTGTAAATGAAAATGTCAAGGTTTTCCACCAGAGGGCAGAGATACCAAGATATCACACAGCACAGCTGTATTTGAAATCTGACAACATTTTTTAAACACATATCAGCGCAGAATGTGCAAGACAAATATGTAATTACATAATCCATGAACTGTGACCTTACAGATTTTAATGACAGGAAGGTTAAATGCACACCAATTTTTGACCCCATCGAGTTTTTTATTAAAAACAAAGCAAGAACGGACAAACCCTTTCATGAATCAGGATCCATTTAAACTGCAGCAGAAAGCAGACTTCTTAAAAACACCAATATAGAAACCCATAGCGTGTGCAAGTTTTCAACCTCTAACTTTATAGATGAGAAATCTGAGTAATGAGGCGGTGAGATAGTCAGCACTGAAGCATTCATCTGAGCTGCAGATCCAGGCAGAGATAACAACACGTGTAATTTATGAGTGTAAGTGTTAACTGAACAAAGAAAACACTGATTGTTTCAGAGATTTCTTTCAATAAAGGAGACACTGCCAAAACTTTAATTCAGGCGTAAAATAAACTGATGCAAATTGCATCCTTGTCGTCTGATGATAGAATAAGGTTTTGAGAAAACTAACTAAAAACACCTGAAACCCTCGGTCACAGGTCGGCTGAGGAATCCAGTCTAGCACCTAATAATCATCACACAGCTATCCTAAGCACTCATAAAGCTGCATCTGACCTTAGTTAGTCTGAGAGAAGAAAAGAAATAACATTGTGGATTACAGAGGGAATAATCTCAGAGAAACCACATTTCACAGTGCTATTATAGAGATTCACTGTGAGATCGGATAGTGACCGATGGAAGCTGGTCTTCAACTAGACCACTACCAAATGTTGGGTTTACACCACTCTTCAGTGTGGAAGTTATTACTGTGAGAAGACGAAGTCGTGTTGGTGAGGTGAAAAAAAAAAGCATTTCATAATTGAACCATTTCCTCTATGTTAAATGTTCATTCAGAGTCCTGCATCCTGTTATGACAACTGGCACGCACATCTCCAGATAATTAATGGCTGATGAACAGCAACAAAGCATCTAGAAATATGTTTAGAGCTTTTCAAATAAAATCTGTAGAGAAATTAGTTAACTAGAATTTGTTCAAAATAATAGGTGGAAACTTTCCAGCTTTCAAGAACCAGGAAATCTACCAGAAATGTATTAGCTTTTAAAACTTTACAGGAAACTCAACTGTTTCAATTTTCCTGAAAAACTCAGATGCAATGTAATATGGTCAGGCTTTAAGGTCCAAACTGTTATTTTCTGATCTGAGTGACGGTTTGTCTCAAAAAAAAAAAGAAGTCTGCAGCTCATGAATGTGACTGTATGGCATCCTTTTAGATTATCTGTGTGATAAGATGAGACAAAACTGTGCTTAAGTAAACATTGCATCAATGTTTTGCATCTATTCGAATCAAAAATAGATATTATAGTTTAAGGGAGTAGGGTTTCAATGCTGCTTTCAGTGATTCAGGGGAAGTCCCAGAGTTTAGGTAAACCCTGATGCAGCAGGTACAGAAATAACTGCAGACTCTGCAGCAGCAGCAGCAACAGAGGACAACGAAGGGGATGAAGGAGAGTGGAGCATGTCCGAACTCGCCTGCTTACTGTGCAATAATTCAGCAGACTACTTAACCCCAAACATAACGCTCCACCTTGTGTTTTGCACTCATCCTTGACGTTGTATTTGTGCGCCGACCAACCCAGGGAAACAAGAGGCTTCAGCAGGAAACGCCCTGAAGGAAATGAACATGAACAGAGGAGTGTCCCGGGGCGTGGGTGGAGCACTGAACCCTCGATAAGAACTGGACCGAAAGTCCAAGCCGTGTGTTGGGCTGGCGAGGTGGTGTTATGGCGTCATACATCAGGAAACAATAACTGTTCCAGTCCAGGACACATGAAGACAAACTTTATAAAAACATTTAACTTGAGAAGTTTCCTGCTTCGGCAGCTTTTATATAAAGACAACTGGTGCAACAAATTTCCCTAAACTTCTGGGCAGCAACAGACAGGGGAGGGGTGTAGCAGCTGAAGAAAAGCTGTATTTGCTGTTAAGTTACACTCCGAGCTGAAGTGTTTGTTAACTTAGCATCACAGATGAGGCTCTGGATTAGAATAGGGGTCAGAGTCTGCGAACAACTAGTGAATACAGTCAGGAAATTACTTCCTTCTAAATAGAAAGCTGGATGCTTTGGCATTCATGTATGCCTAGTCCCCTTTATCCTGAAACCCCCCAATAAAATCTAGCTCAATCGGCTGTCCTCAGTAATCACAGTCCAGATGTGTG